GAGTTTTACAGGTTAGGCACCATATTGTTTTTAACAACATTGCTATGTAGCTACTACATGTTTCTAAACTTTGGCATTTATTGAAACAAATATAGTATATCCATCAAAAAGTGGATTTTGTTACCTCGAGACAGTTTTTACTGAGCTAAATTAACTCGCTTGCTTGCTTTAGTTTTATGGGCTATTTGCTATACAGACATTTGAGCGCCATCATTCTTGTCGTTGTACTCGGGAACAAAATGAAATAGTTTGTTTCTTTTTAATATGAAACCATCCCTTATATGGCCATAATTATGGATCCAACATGAAATGACATTGCATCACTGCGGGACAATGTAATAGCTGGGAGACGTCTCAGCAGCTTCATGTTACCCCTTGTAAAATTTTGTTGTAACTGATCTTTGCTGCAAATCTAAGACTCACCAGAGCTGAAACAATGTTTTTTCGGGTTAATAAATACAACTGAAGTGCTAAACTATTTTACTGGCGAGGTTATAGGCCGAAGAACATTCAGTAGCAAAAGAAAAGCATAAGACAGCAAAATGATTTACTATCAACAAGTAGTTGCTTTTGGCCCTGGCCTATGTTTTTTCACAGTCAGAGATGGGAATGTTTCGGGCTGTTAGCATTGAAAGACTGTGTTTCACAGCAGACCTCTAATTTCCCTGTCTAGTCCTCTCTGAAGAAAAATCAGTTTTTGACCAGCTTCAATCTGCTCCAGTGAAAATAGGCAATATTCCAAAGCTGAAATGGAAAATATGTTTTACATATAATGCACACTTATTTGCTGACCACAAACAGAAACCATGTAGCGATATATTACTGAAAAGTTCGTTTTTTTTCTTCTCTTGCTCCTAAAAATGCCCAGATTGTTTCTATTTAGGGCACTGACAGAGCAACTCATCCTTCTTTCTTTAACAGGTTTAGATGATGGTCGTATTAATATATGTGACCCATACGGCTGTTAAAAAAAACATGAAAACAGGGTGTCCACAAGATACAGTGTACATTTAAGATTTTTTTCTCCCTCTTGAACACTCAACACTGAATAGCAGTTGAATAGTTGAGGACAGACAGACCAATACACTTTTCAGCATGTTAAAATCCATCCAGAGACACAAACATATAAGAATGTACTGCCATTAAAACATACACAAGCACACACAAGCCCATGGGTATCCACAAAAAAACATGTATTTATCACTAATATATGATTCCAAAGCTTAATCCAAACACTCATTGTCCCATGACTAAACTGTCTGTAGTTTCACTGCTGTCGAGTCAAACTGATTCATGGCACGTTTTGAGTCTTTTTATTCTCTTTTACAGATACAAGCAACTACAATTCAACTAAATGTGACAGGTAAGTTTACTCATTCATTACTGAATACATACATTTTATAATCTCACTGAAATCAAACCACTAATCATCTGACTTTTATAAAGAGATGCTTTTTTTGGTTTTTGTGGGGGGTTTTTGGCTCTGGATATCTGAAATTGGCATTTAGATCATTTTTTTTAAAGGAAGGCGTGGGTGATTATAAATGATCTACAAATGATATGTGTATACTCCATATGTATGTATGTATTCACAGGGACCAGCAGCCGCTCAGAGGCCAGCAGAGACAAGATGACCAAGGCTGGAGGGAGATCCACGCTGCTGTGGCTCTGACAAGCTTGGCCCAGGGGCAGAGCTGCACTGCAGACCAGAGCAGTGCTCCAGTGTCCAGCGCTGCCACAGGGCAGAGCTACACCCGAGGGCCTCTCTCTGTAGCAAAGACCACTATCACAGACGAGATGAGCAACACAGGATCTGCCTCAGGTCTACAGCAGAGCTGTGCCACCGGGCCCGCTCTCACCAACCGCATCATCCAGAAATCCTCTCATATCTCTGAGGTCCAGACTGTCAAAGTCTCACTGGCAAACAGTGTGTAGGCATTAAACATGTTGTTTCATACTGGAAAACCGGACATTCACGTGCCTTGCGATATAT